ATACAGCGCGATAATATACCCGCACGGCAATTAGAAAATTGACTAAGATAATGCATCAGTATGCACAGGATGGACACAGGAACGTGGATATGTCTTAATATACAAATGCAGGACCCTGGTGCTTTCGGTACTTCCATTACTAATCTCTTAGCTCTAATTACATAGCTGTTACCTTCGTTATCTTATTATAATACAACGTGCCTACGTATAATATAATTCGAGTACTTCAAATTATACACACAATTTGAGGGCAGGAAAAAAATATGTCCGATAAGCTAATAGCTAAATATTTTTTCCCAACTAGGGAAAAGGGGGTATATGCATGTTTATGTGTAATAACTGGTGGAAATATGTATCTATTTTTGATATTATATGTCCTTGCTTTTTGCATGCTTTTCTTTAACTCGCTAACACGTAAGTTCAACCCACGTAAGTCCCTAATAAATATATCAGATAATGTTTTATGTTGTAAGTTTTTTAGTAATTTAAATTTGGTTCAATATTAGTATGTGACACATACATTTCATAATACTTAACTCAATGAATTTGGACTTAGTTGAATAGAGCCTACGCTTTTCTTTTTAGTCAAAATGTTTAACATTATTTAAAATTGTAGTTAATTTTCGGTTGTTTTCAAAGTAATTAGAGAAATATTAAATAAAAAATTCTACAATTGATCGGTAAATTTTTCTTGTAGTAAAATTATTTTTTACTTTTTAGTTTACTTTTTACTATTTTTAGAAAAGCATGTTTTTAAAAAAGTTTTTTTTATTTATATATTTTATTCTTTTTAAACTACTATAATAGAGCGATTTTGATGAACAGTCAACTACAAACTTAAATTATCTAAAAATTCTCAGTAAGTTTCGAGCTAGGTTTATTTCCAAAGGCGAAGTATAGTTTAGTTGTAGAATTTTTACATTAATTGTTATTTACACATAATCATTTTATACGTTTCCAACAAAGTGTTTTGTTTTGTTCATTACTCATTAGTTAATCATTTAATTGAATTTATTTCCCTTGCTCCTTAATACTGTGGTATATTTATTATAATAGTAGTTCATATGAAAAAATAGTCTAACAATGTTTTTTTTTTTTAAGTGACCACATTGTATTTTGAGCATCAAATAAAGATCATAACTAACTCAAACTGTGTTGAAAAAATCTCGGTTGGTTTTAGAATCGCCATCCGAAGAAAGTATTTGTAAGTTGTGAACATTTTCAAAAATTGCTCTTGGCTGGTTTTTAAACTATACGCCTCAATTTAACATATTATTTATCATTTTGATCTGTTGTCAAAAATTTTTTTTTTCTTCGGAAAATCTCAAAAACTATTAAAATTCTAAAATGTTAAAAGTTATTTTGGGTTTATTAGTCTTTAATTTAGTAAACGGTCTTAATTAATATGAATACAATTATAATTTTACAAATTTTTAAACAAACTTTACCATTAATTTTGTTCTACTTTGGTTTCGATGCATATCTGTGGATACTGGACTACACTTTACGGGATATCTTACTGGTGGTTTAGACAGTACCTACTGTATTCTTACTACCTATTTGCTATTTTTTTTTATTTACTTATTTAACATAGGAAAAGAAACGTTTCTCGCCGGTCGCCGTCTGTCGGATGATCGGCTGCCAGACTGACGAAGCCGACACAACAGGTAAATAGGTATTCGAAAAACACGTGTAAATACTGTTTATGTTTTTTTTAAAACACCTTTTTTTTTTTTTTTGTACCTACCTTCTACCCGGCAGGGGCTACTTACATAATATTATTATTATACCTATACCGTAACAATATTATGTTATAAGCGCCATCCCAAAGCGAAGTGATGAGACAGTTATTTCAAACTGCATATCGCATTGTGCGTTTTTAAAGGAAATCTTATCGCCCAAGAGTCGACCCTTTTGTACTATTGTTATTATCACCATCATCATTATTATTATTCTTATAATGTTCTTATCCGGTTGTTCATCTCGGACCAGTAGCCCGTCGCAACGACGAAATCGATACACCCCGGTAGCGCACGCCTATCTCGGCACTCTCATCTCTGTAGAGGCTAAAAGATATACTTAACTAAAAATAAATAAATAAAAACGTCCCTTTTTGGAAATTACATTACTTTTTTTCTTCTTCAAGACGCCGACGTGTATGTAGAAATAATCTATTTTATATTACTTCTACTCTGTATCCTTTTTCTTTGTTTATACATTGTTACCCTTTCTTTTCCTTCAACATCAACATCCGTTCAGGTCCGCCTCTGTTTACAATGCACAAAACGAGTACACGACCCTTTTTTTCTTCATATTATTATTCTCTTCCAGTTGGCCACGACCGATATGGTATTTTTTACCAAAAGGAATGGGAATCGAGTGAAACCATTGAGTTCACAATGTATTATAGTTTAATATATTATGTTTTTTGCCATTCCTAAAATTATTGTTAATTAGTTTCAATTGTGTCGGTACGAAAAGTAAAAGTACTTATTAAAAGACGGCCAAGCTAACTGATTAAGTTAAATTAACTAAAATGAACTCTGCAAAAACCCGTCTTACGGCGACAGCGTTTAAATTACTACTATTCAGTCGACCAATAATAGTATTATGTAATTACATACAGCTACCCCGCTCTTGTTAATTTCAAAATAAGAGATTTTGATTTTAAACATAATTTCATCAAACCTAATAAACGAGATACGACCTGGTGCGAGAGAGGCGTTTCGGATGCGCTATACTTTTGGATTGAGAAATATTTAAAAAAAATAATTAATTAACTACTAATTGTACTTGGAATACTTCTCTAGTATTTTAAATATTTGTTTAATACTTTTTAAAGTAAATACCTATTTGGTAAGTCAAAATACATAACTTTATTTTACATATATTGTACTATAAAATAACCCAATGCTACCGATAACCATGGACTTATTTTTGTATTCTATTGTGATATATTTAACTATATCCAAATTTTTTGATTAAGTTTAAACTCTTATAAGCCATAAAATGTTTTATAAAAGTACTTTGACAAAACCGAAGACTAATATGTAAACAGAGTGATAATTTTATCGTAAGACACTCATTTAATCTTTAAGAATAATTGAAAAATGTATAGTCTTTCTTTTTGGAGACACTTTAGTTAATGTGTTATCTTACAACAGAGTTCAATCAACTTTTAAAACTCAAATAATGGAGTACACACACAGGTATTCAATACACTTTTTAGATTAAGAATAATTTACTGTAAATATTGACTACTACCAATAAGGTTCCAAAAAGTTAATAGAGCTCTGAAAATTATTAAAAATGGTAAATATTAAGAAATTGTATCAAACATGCTAATGAAGCCTATCAAACGTGCGGATTCGTGCAAACCAATTAAGTAAAATATGTGAATTCTAAATTTACACAGGTATACAATTTTGAATGTGGTACTTTAAAGTGGTTTAACGGTAAAAACACCATTTTTTTTCTCTCAAAAACTATGAAAAAATGTAATATTTTAAAAAGAGAATTATTTAAAAAAAAAAAATAATAATGCAGGTTGATAACATAAATGTAGAACGCTTTACTTTTTCGGTAATATTTTGCAGATTATTCAATTTTATAAAATCTTAGTATTATACAGTTATAGGTTAGGTAAAGTATAGTACCTTATTTAACTTAAGTCTTAACCAGTGGAAACTGTTTCTGGGTTGTTATAAACTATAAAAGTTAATTGCAACACAAAAAACTGTGATCTCACTTTTTCCAAAACTAATAATACCGCCACAGTTGAACCATAATGAACACAAAAGGCTGGTCATTAATATATTGTGTGTCATATGCGCACAGTGTACGATAGCCCGATTGTATTGTTTCGAACGATTACCGTCGACTTAGCGGAGTTTTATTAAATTAACACGTCGGCAATAATTTACGATTAGTATCCAAATCCGACATGCAAATGCAGCGACGGGATCGTTTATCGCCGGACTTAGCCGACATCCAAAATTGGGGGGGGGGGGAGGTGGTGGTGATTTGAATATTATCGTCGGTCTATTGTCCGACATCCCTCGCTGCCTTTTTATAATTGTCGCGGCTATAAAAACAACCCTTTTTTTTTTTATTCTGTTAACGCCGTGTATATAATATTATATCGTTTCATTAAAATTGTCTTCGTTGACAAATTGTTTGTTAATTGCCGTTACACATGTCGCCGCACTGGCTGCAGGTGCACTAAACGATCGAGGATATTATTTCATAAAAATCCAATAAAAATAAAGCCAGACCGCTTCGGGACGTTCTCGAGGCAAGGGTGGGCCGATAACCCTTTGGGGTGGTGTGTAGCGTGATTGAATCGAGAGAGCTACGAGAAATAATATGCTTTTTTGTTTAATAAAAAACAAAAATGTATATATATATCTATACATATACGGCTTGGGTTTATTAAAACTGTTTCCGAGAGCTGTGAGCCGAATGAGGAATTTCAATATGGTATGCTATAGCTACCATAAAATATTGTACATTTATCGCATTCGTCGTCGGATGCGATTCGGAAAGATATGTACTCTAATAGAACGGTATGAGGGTGCGAAAATACCTTTTTAAATATTATACTGATTGTAGTACATACAAGTGAATGTGAAAGGTAATTTTGAAAATTCCCCTCCGAATGCCGTTGAAATAATGCTATGTCATTATTTAGGTGAATTATAACCGTATGGGGGTGCTCGCTGCCGGTATTTGCATAAACTGTCATAAAACCATTACATAGAACAAGGTGTATTTAACAGAAAATAATATATAAATGGAAAACAATATAATATACAACGAAAACTGTGACAGATCGTTCAACGGCGGTGCAGACGGCATTGTTAGACTTGCTGAATTCATTTGGCGAATTAAGGTTAATTATTTACGACTGTCATGCCGACTGGAAGGAAGCCGACTCGCCAGCAGAACAAAAATATTTTGGAGCTAATTAACAGCTGAATAACAACTGGCGATCTCGACTACTAACGATTAGATTTACAAACTGCGGCTGCCACGACGGCCGCCCCTCGTCCACTGCCGTCCTCCGACAAAATAACGTTGATTTTCTTCTTGTTTTCTAGCAGCTCGTTAATAGTCTCCACCAGAATATTGTGGTAGTGCGGATGATGCCGGTACACCGACCCGTCCACGCCAATCGTTATTTCCGGCTCGTCGATCCGATTCAGTATTGCTACCAGTCCGGCGGCGACCATCCGAGCCGACCTCTTCGACACACATTCGGCCACGTTCCGGATGACCTCCAAGTCGCGGTCCGTCGCTTCGATTCCGAACTTCTTTAGACATTCCCTGGCATTTCCGTACGAGCCTGGGGGGTCCCTCTCGACGTTGGAGATGACGTCCGTCGTTATGCCCCTCCGTCGCCGGAGCGCTTCGGGTATCCTGCCGTCGAAAATCAAATTCGCCTTGGCCATGTCCACCAGCAGCAGCCGGAATATCTCGCCCAGGTACATGCCCGAGACCATCTTCTCGAACAGCTGTTGTCTGGGGTTCACGGAGTTGGCGTCGACCTCTTGGTCGTATTTCGTGAGGAACCCCTCAAGCTCTCCGTTGTCGCCGAACGAGCCCCACTCCAGGTTGATGATCATCTGTTCCTTGTCCGGATCGCCGACATACAAGCCGATGGCGTCGACCTTCTCCACGTAACAGCAATTCGATCCCGTCCCCACTATCAGTCCCAGTTTGGTCTTGGGGTCTTTCCACGCGCAAGCCATGAGCGTGCCGACCGTGTCGTTGAGTATGGCGCAGATCCTGACGCTGAGACCCGCGTGTTTGGCGATGGACCGGCGCAGCAGCTCGACCACGTCATTGTCTACCACGCCGTCGCAGGTGAACCCTTTCGTCCACCTGGTCAGCACGCCCGAATCGACGCTCCGCTGCGACATGGGGAAACTGAACGTGAACCCCACCGGCAGCGACCTGTTTTTCGATTTGCTCTTAGCCGGCGGCGTCCCTTCGGCACCGTCGTTCAGGCCTTGGGCGTCGATGAATTTCTTCAGACACTCCGCGATGTGGTCGAACAGGTGTTCGCCGCTGCCGGTCATCAGGTCCTGCGAACACGAGTACGTCTCCTGCTCCATGTAGAAATACTTGTTGATTCCCAGCTCGCCCTTCAACACGCGGAAATTGGAACCGCCCAGGTCCAGCGCCAAGTACGTGCCCCGTTCCAGACCCGTGGGCATGTCTTGCACGTAAGTCTGGAAGCATTTCACCGTGGCTCTGGCGTGTGTGTCTTTGCCCAGACCGTCTTCGATGCAGCTGGCCATACGCCGCGACAGCTCCCGGAGCTTGCTGTTCGGCACCAACACCGTGCTGCGTAGGGCGTCCAAGCTCGACACCCTCGGAGTGCACAGCCGGTTCATCCAGCCGAGCGCGTCATCGAAGAATTTCATTTGATCTACACGATTTGTACGTACAACACATGTATGAATATAGGAATTATATACAATGGGTTGTTCTGATAGAACTGATTTTGTTTAAACCGCGTCTCCAATGGTGAGACGTTTTTTTCAACACCGAATGCAGGCCAGCCATACAAACGGGTTATTTTATTTAGCCGGCATATAATTAGGCGCACACATTACAATTATTAGCTAGAATTCAATTTTAATTAAAGCCACTGTGCTACAATATCTAAATCATAAAAGCGACGCTCCGAATATGAAATACCATTTTCTATATTATTTTATATTATAATAAATTTAAAATGTTCAAGTCCTAGTAACTGTTTAACATTTTTTAATACATTATTTATTAAATTATAATAAATACAAGTCTTTCAATACATTAATTATATTCATACACTAGATTAGTAGGTTTCCTAAAAAAGCACAAAATACAAAGGCAAAATGTACTATTTATCTCTAAATTAATAATCTAAAGGGAAAAAATGGCACATTTTATTTACTTTTAAGCTAGATGTTTTTAATGACTTCTATTATTTTTACGAAATTCATATAGTTTAAAATAACCTAACTCGTTAGGTATACACTTTATCATTCTCAAAATAAGTTTAAAATAAAATAATACTAGTACCTTTAATCACAACGGTAAGTTATAATCTAATGACAAAAACAAAACAATGCAAGATTGTTTTTATTAAAATATTAGCTTATAATTATTAATTATTATTTCTACAACTACTAGAATCTTATGATTAACATCATGGATTAAATAAATATACGATGTCTTGATGAAAAGAGTATACAAATCGAATCGTTTCGAGAGAGAAAGAGTAAACTTTTACAGTTTTGAGTTTTGACGTCCACAATTGGCTTTAGGACAAGATTTCTGATCCATAGATACGCTACTGGACCTTTTATAAATGAAAAGTAACACATAATATTAATTTCTTATATAGTTTGAAAATAAGAAATAAATTATCGTTAATTAATACTTCTCGAATTATACTTACGTTTAATTAGCAATATAAAAGCTAATAACCTTTTCTTGTTTCAAATTTTGAATATTATAAAAACAGATTGAGATGCACAAAAAAATACATTGTTTATCATCATAATCAGAGCCTTATTTACGCAAGGACATTATGGGTATTTGTCCAGTGCCCATGCGGATCAGGGGCCTACCTACTAGATTTAATCCTTTTAATTTAATTTACAATTTTTAATAATAGGCCCATTTTTTTCTTTTGTCCGGGGCCACAAAAATTCTAAATCAGGCTATGGTCATAATCGTTTAATAATGGTTAAGAAAAATGTCATAAAATTAATTAATAGGCAAATAATTACCTAGATAAGTATTTTGTTTACAAAAAATAGGTACCGGTTAAAATAATATTAAGTAGTTGTCGGGAATTCCTCGTTTATATACGTCTGGAGTTCCCAAGTATATATTGTGATGTCATTATAATCATGTTAAATAATCAAACCGTGGTGGTTATGGCTAAAAATAAATGCATGATCCAATACCCTTTCTGGGGTAGATTTTAGGGTCAAGTAGTTATAGGGAAAGTGCTAATTATTTCGTCTGGAGTTCCCGGTAGGAGCGAATGCCTTAGCAGAAGACATCCCGTGGCAATTATTGGGAATAAAACAAAAAGCTATTTTTTTTTTATAGGGAAAAAAATACATAACCAACCCCGGCCGTTGTCCGGCAATGCGAGTTACTGGAAACCCGTCGTGGGAAAAAATATAACACCGTCTCAGCTGACCTTAAGGTGTCACCAGAGATTGTGTACACCGTGTATGGGCACCATAATAGTGTATCTAATACGCGTCCCTTCGCATTGTGCCGGTTTCCACGAATATAACGTCCGTGGCATTGTGCGGGGGGTTCGCATGTGCAGGTACTTTATACTATTATACTATGTTAATTTAGACATTACTGGATAATGTCCCTGTATATGATAGCCCGGCGAGGGACTGCCATTGGTTGGGCCCAAGACGACGGCTATAAGAAGGAGCTGATGCCGTAATGCACGTCTACCGCGAATAATGCGACGGTCTAATATGTTTTAATATCGTCCGCCCTCGCCTGGGCCGTATCATCGGTTGTGTATACTTACAATAATATCATACACATCATAATACCTTTATATTATTATTATTTTTTTTTTTTATATACACACGGCGTAGGGATTGTGTAGATTACATCACGGTCTCACGATCGCCGCGCCACCGATCACCTGTTCGCGATCCGAATCTCATAATTCCATCCGTCTAGTGTATATACCTTTGTATGTACAATATCAATCGCATAAAATGACCGAGAGTGACCGTCCCGACACACAGACTAGGCGCCACGTGATGTCATCACGGATAAAAGGCCAAAAAAAAAAAAGAAACAATTCTCGGCTGCAAGGAAAAAAAGCCAGTACAGCGGGGTCGGGGCATAGTGGTCACAGGTTTACAGGAATTTTTAAGCCAGCAAAGTTAGAAAGTAATAAATTGAGGTGCTGTTGAATACATTTCTTCAATTTTAATAATAATCTTTTAGTAAGCTAAACTGAAAAAATAAAATGTATGATCATAATTATTAATACCAAAATATACAAAAACCATACTAATTTATTATTATATATTTAATATGAGAAAAAGATATCATTTATATACTTAAAACGTCATTAAAATAAAAATAGACATTTGACATGATCTTCATAAAATTATTCTATACCGATTTTGCATCTAAACGTGTAATACAAAGATAATTTTAATAATTTCAATCTTAAATTATGTTACATTTTCTACGCAAAATTATAATAAATAATAAACAATGGAGTTTTTAATTTCTTCTGTCAATTATTAGATAATACGAGCTTGTAAAATAATTTTTAAATTTCATTAAAAAAATATAGTATCAAAATTAAACATATATAAAATATAATCACCATAACAACTAGGTAATGCTTGCTTAAAAACTTGTTTTTACAAAAAACCAGAACATCTTATGACGGTCTAAAGACATTAGTGATGTACTGTTTTTCTATGTGAGCGCTTTATCTTTTGATTACAAATGTTGGATGTCGCAAAATGACGGACAATATAAAATTTGGTCATACAAATTGTATGACACTTAATACACTAGAACAAACTTAATTTATTAAAAATATTTTTCCATATTTACTTCTTTAATGTTTAACCCGTTGTTTTTTCAGAAGCAACATCGGAAAGAGTAGTATTGCATGTGTTTTCATTGAGAGATTCAGCTAGAGCGCAGTTAGCAGTTGTCTAACGGCTAGGTTTGACATTACAAGTATAGTTGTTCAAAATCAAGCCAATTAAAATATTCTTATTCGTTGTATCCAAACATTATTGTAAATGAATAATTAAAGTATTTTTTCAATAGTTCTAATATTGCATACACTATTTTGTTATTTATTTCTATAAAAAATAAAAAACTATACTTTTATTAGTATTTTAAATAAAATATAGTATAATTACCAGTATTTTATAGGTATTAATTTGTAATACTAAATTTATATTATAAGCATTTTATTTTAAGCATTTTATTCAACTTTATTTTACTTACTGTTCTCACATTCACTAACGAGTTTCCGAGTCAATGAGTAACTCCAGTGGGGTATTCAGTGCATTTAAGCTTATTGGTTCTTATTTTTTTCTTCAGACTATCAAAGTTATTCCTGTAGCACAAAATATATCTAATCCAAATATTTTATATTTTATAATTATATATTTTCTTTTATCGCACAAAAAGTTAGGTTAAGTTGGGTTTAAAAAGAAGCCAGTCCACTGGGCTCTTAACTTATCTAAATGTCTCCAATGAGAAAAACTACTAAATTTTAAGAAAACTATCGTCTTAAGCTAAACATTGATCACCGTGTAGAGTTACAAAAATTATTGTCCTATCATATTAAAATTTTTTTTTTTAAATGTTACACATGCACTCGGGCTGGCATTTGTATTCTAATTGTCGTCAGACGCATCATTGTGTTGGGTATTTAATGGTCAGAGCGACAATGTTGAAAAAACGGGTTGTGTTTTATTATTAGCCGGTAGTCAAACGGCAATTATTATTAAAGCAACGTGACCATAAAAAAACGAACGATATAATATATATATATATATATTTTTAGACATTTAAATAACGCATGCAACAGATCCGTAAAAAACAAAGACAATCATTGACAAACCAGACACGTATTATAGACACACATCACAGTAGTACATTATACGGTTTATGATCCTTTGTTCCCTTTGTCTTATGTGCATCCGAAATAGTATTTAAAATAGTAAGTATAGTAAAAAAAAAAACACACCATTGTATAATGACCAATACTTGCCGGTTCCACAATCGAAGCTAAAAAGTTTTATTTCAAACCAAGACATTATTATTTAACCTCATTTAAGAAGGGGTAAGAATTTTTGCTTGTTTCTTTTTCGATTGGCAGATTGATGAAATTCGCCCTAAGCCAAACCCAAGCTAAAATGGTAAATGTTTAATATCTAAGCTTAGGGAGGAAAGTTAAGGTTTACATAATATTAGCTATTAAACGCCAATTTTTTTTTTTTTTTTAACAAAATGTGACGCATTTAATAAAATGTTGATGTTTTTCTTTTATTTGCAATATTTTCAAAATTGGTACAGTTTCGAGTTTGTACTGAATTTTAAAATTCTTTTGTTGTTTCTGTAAATGAAACTGAACTAAAAAATGTATGAGGCAATTATATTTTTAGACATATTATAATCAAACTATTCATTTTGACATGATACCTAGTAAAATGTATTTTTAATTAATATTAGCAGACATAGCTTGCTAATGAAAACACTCGTTGGTGATGGTCTGATTTCAGTTCTGATAGAAAGTATGAATTATTCGGCTACATTTAACATTACTAGTTTTTTTAAAAAAAATAGTTTGTAAGAAAAATGTGTTTGAATATTAAAAAATATTTCGAATCTCATTTATTTAATTTAAAAAAACTGAATTTTTTTAAAATAAAAAATCAGTTTTCAAAATAACCCAGTAAAGAGCCTAACAAATTCTTTGGAAATCCACAAATTTACAAAGTATTTTTACAGAAATTTAAATTGGACGTCTCGCTATTTTGTCACAGCAAAAGTATTTTTTTACCACCAAAATAGCGTTTATTCATAGAAAAAATTGCTCAAGTTCAAAACAAACCCCTTTGAGCTTCCCGCGAAGGTCTGAGGGGGTAGCTCAGGGTGATAAAAAACGCTTGTATGTGTCTGTGTACAAAAAAATTCGGTGTAATTTCATAGTTAGCGTTAGTGTCTGCCCCGGATACATTGTAAGAGTGACTATAGTCCCCCCCCACCGGGGCAACTAAACGGGTCCGCGGGGTCAGACGCTGTTTGTCAGTTCGCCGTTGTTAGTGAATAGTATAAAAATATGTAAAAAAAAAAAAATAATAATAATAATAAAACCATATTTTTCAACGGGTCCGCCACAAAAGGACCGCGACAGTTCGGAATGGCAACATAAAAATATGTTTTCGCCTCGAGTGACATAGTGCACAATACCGGGAGAAGGCGATAAATCATCCTGTGTTTTCGGCCGCCTCCGCGATTCAAGTATAAGTATACCAAAGTATAAGTACCCGTATAATAGACCAACGATGACGATGACCGATATAAATGATTTACCGTCTATCTCTCTTTTCAAGTCGGCTAGTCGACCATTGTGTGTAAATATTTCTTAATTTTTCCGCCGAAAATCCTTTTTCAAATGCCGACCGCCGTACAATATAATATAAATATAAATAAATACATATATATATTGTATATAACACGTACACCCATATGTGTGTACAATATTGTGGACAATCGACGTCGATTATATTATGTGTGTGTAAACAGTACGCTTATAATATCTCCACCTGGTCTCCCGAGTGACTCTTATATGGACTAAATATAATAGTATTTTTTACTTACATCTAAAACAAACGCTTAAGGTCAAGGGGAGGTGGGCACGTCCTCGCCCTCCTCACAGTAGCCAATAGATGTTAGCGGGTCCTGATTTTTATCTTTGCTTACTATTGTAGCTAGGAACCTCTTGAATGAGTATTTAAAACTTGAAAGGATAGCAGGTACAAAATAATGTTAATTTTTTACCATACCGTACTTAAATTTTAATACAAAAATCGTTTAACAGATGTATTTAATATAGTCAGATTTTTAAATTTTAATAAATAAAATGTTAAGTTATGTTTACTTAATACATTTTTTTTTATCGAGAACTATCTAAAAGGGAAGATCTTGTTTAGTTATCATTTTTTAAGTGCTGAAAATTGAAAAATTTTGGTTAAATATGAAAATATAATATAACATTATATTTAATGGGTATGTTTTATATAGATTCGATTTTTTCAAAAATAAAAGCGTTCATTCGCACTGAACAGGAATAGGTTGTTTTTGTTTGTGTTTTGGATTTAACAAACACAGCAAATATACAAAATAATCATATCCATCTATTCAAACACAGTAACAGCGACAGTGTTATCGGCTGGAGTAAAAATATTTAATGGGAAATTGCCGTAGTAATGTTGTTAAACCGAAATGCATATTGATCTTAAATTAAAATCTTTACAAAGTCATAACAAACAAACAGATTGATAAAAATTTCAAACCCTAAACGTTTTTTTTTTACATTTTTTGTCTAAATATATATTATATGGAATTAAAAACATATGTTCTCATTTGAAAAAAATACTTACATACAAGGGGTGAAGATAAAATTTGTCCAAGTACTAGTGAAACATTATCCAAAATGCTCTCATATTTTCCTAGAAAATGAGTGTCTTACATCAAACAGCAACAGTTGGCCCTTCACCTCGGCCAATTCGTCAACTAATTTGAATTATTATAATTTTTTTTTCTTGTGGAAAATGGAAAGGTGCAACGGTATAAGAGACTCGTAGGTCCTATTATTTATATAAAGTCATTGTCCGATCGATCAACCGTCGTCACACTCCCGACACTGTTATTCGGACCCGATGCTCGTCCGAAACAGAACGTTTTTTTTTTTTTAATAAAGAAATCAAAAGAACGATTTTGTATTTTGTTGTTTCCCCAGACATTGTATTATTTTTTTTGCCCCGAGTTAGTAACGGATCGATGACGGTTCGGTGTGCAATTGACCCGTCTGTCACGAGCCGCCGTTCATTTTTGGATAGGTACACCTAAGTAATTCATACTGTATACTTGGGGGGTGGCGCATAATAATAACAATAACATAATATAACAAAATATTGCGCATATTATCGGATAATATATATATCCGTTATCCGTTATAGCGATCACCGTCGAGAGGACGATGAGAGGGGCACGTGGACCCTGGCCCTGGAGGGGAGGTGCGGCCCCGTCAAAAATTGACGAATTGGTGACTTTTTGGCCATTGTCATTATTGTTGTATCCTAATTTTTCCCTGGGTTTTTTTTTTTGCCGTCAAAAAGTACACAAAACACAGTTGGCCACTGTCGATACGCGCTCCACGCATTCGACCGTGAAAACAATGCGGACAAACGTCGTCCGGAGACGAGGCCTAATCGAAAGGAAAAGAAAAGAAAAAAAATGATCTGACGAGTCGGGTAGCAGTTTTAACGGATAAACCGCTTTTGAATTGTGTCAACCTATAACCTTACCAAGTCACTTTATTAAAAGTGCTTCATTGTAAAGTCTGTGGTGCGATGGCACAAGTCGACGTGTACACGGGGATTAGAAATAAGAAAAAAGAAAAGAAAATAGGAAATAAGATTACTTGTTTTACTTTTTACACCTACTTACTCTTTTGTCACGGTTCTTCCTTTCAAAATAATTATTTATTACTATCCTTTTTCACCTCAACTCTTAAACTCTTAAACCTTTTCCAACCAACTTTTTCCGTTCAAACGATTCTTCTTTAGTCTTTTTATGAATACCTATGTAAAGCATAAAGCTAGATCCCCCCGAACATTTTCAAATTGGCAAACTATATTACTGACTGCGTGCTGACACAAGGGACACATATTTCCAATCTGAATATCTAAGGTTGTCCATGTAAGTTATAATATTTAAAGTTCTGGATTTTGTAATGTAAAACTACAACATTTTGAATACTTATGTTAAGGATGATTTTTTTTTTTTTTTGGTACATTATAATATGAATTGTTTTCATACATTTGTAATTATTGTAATCTATTCGATCTACTTAATACTGATGGATTTTAAGGTGAGTTTGTTGAAATAAACAAAAATAAATATTCTGCACCAAATATATTTATCGACAAAGAGATTTCTAAGTTAAAACAAATCGGTAGGTACTTAAAATTATATAGATATATTTTTTTATGCATATAATAATTATAATAATATTAGTAATTGAATCACACTGGTAAGTTTTATCCATAACATTTAAGCACTATCTACTTCGGCTGCACCGCTCGTTTCGTTGCATATAATTATTATTATTTACACACACACACACAAATATTGATTTTAATACAAATATTATGCAATATATTAATATATGGGTAATATAATATATTTTTATTTTTTAGCGAAGGGTACTATAATAGGTACATAGGTAGTGATTTAAATATTTGATTGGAACGTGCACACACACAACAATTTATCCACAAGTAAATATTACGAATAGGTTGTTAGTAGGTATACTATCATATAGTTTAATAATTTAATAATAAAGTTTAAAGTAGTAACAAAATTAAAAACTAATTAAAAAAAAAAAAAAACCGCACGTCTAATAGTTTAATCTTCTGTTGTTCTCCATGTCGGCTTCGGTAACGCGGTCTTGGTTTCTAAACGCACGAGGTTTGTCTTGGTAGTCTCTGATGCGGTCGTTGTATCTTTCGATTTGTTCCTGTAACATCCTGTGCTCGATCTGCAAAGAACAAAATCATTTTTAGATTACACTATGCTCAAAATAATTATGTTTTGCTTCCCTCCAATCGATAGTAGCCTATTCAAATATGGAATGTTATTGACAGTTTTCTAATGTTTGTATTCTATTCATCGGTCCAGTGTTGGGAAAATCAGTGAAACTATTTTTAATACAAAGTAAAACACTTCTAAAATAAGGTAAGTTATTTTAAGGAGAAGAAGAGAAAGAGAGAGGTTTAAATATTTTTTTTTGTGAAATATAAATACTTAACTTGAACAATTGTTCATAGCTTGAAAATTATTTAATGTCTAATATAAGATATTTTTATACAATAAAAAAATGTATTCTAATTAAGAAAATCAGTAAACATAATACTCAATTATCGTCCGTACGTTAAAAAATATACTATTATTTTGTAAAGAAAAAAACCGTTCCTTATTATATTTGTCGAAGAAAACGAATATTTATTTTTATTTACTATATGAATTTATTTATTTTTTATTAATTAAACCTAAATGGGTTTATAATTTGTGTTTTTTTTCCAATGATAACCAGTTATTAGTTATTGGACCGACTCTTCATGTACCAACGCCATAAATAGTTAAAAAAGAACAGTTTCATAAAAAAAAAAAAAATTTCCACTAAAAAAAAAATTAATTAATAAATTCTTAAAAAAGGTTTTGTAGCTCTCCCGGAGACTATGGTAAATGTTGCTGAGACCCTTTTGTTCGTGTAATCGTCTATATAGGCTTAAAATAAAATATATGGACTATTGTTTCTTTTTCTGAAATACCCGTCGACTACTAGGACGTTTATGAGAAAGTTGATCATCTCTACAGCATGACTAATATTAATTTATTATTATATTTCAAGTGTATATAGCCGATGGCGTTTTTGTATACACACTCACCGTGGCCCGTTCTTCGTCGAGCTCCAAACAGCCAGTGCCGTCCAATTTGTTCAAATCGATCCTTCCTTTCCACCGCACGCACACGCCGTTCATTATGAAGTGTGACAGTATGTGAACCTGAGTGGGCAAAGAAAAATTAGCGACTATTAGTAATTTTGACACAAGACTCTCAAAACTACATTCTTAGAATATACATAGAGATAATTATGTAGGTAGGTAGGTACATATAGTTAAATGGTTAACAGCTACGACGCCGTCAATATATTATTACAAGATGTTTGACTTTTTCGAATTAAAACATTACAGGAGAGCGTACGAATCAGTTTCAGTGACTATTCACAATAACGGATTATTATATCCGCTGGCCGATTGAAAAGATTTCGGCTTATTTATTTTCCTAACAGCTACCATTGATACAATTGACTGTTCTGGCAAGTAGCCGTTCTGCTACTTAGTTGTTTTCGCTGCTAACTTTGTATATAACCGTCATCGGCGATGAGCCAACTGTTGTGTAAGATAGTCGCGGGGTCGGTATCGATATGGATTTTTAATTCCCTTAAACGAAGATATCGACGGTGGCAAGCGGAAAGAAACGAGAGGGTCGTGTTGGCCGAGCAGGCACCCGCGATAAATGCAGCTGTACGACAGACCGAGATGGATGTGGCCGTACCGAGGGTTGCGAGCGACGACACCTTGATATTGATAGATACCGACGATACCTTGATAGATACCGACGATACCTTGATAGATACCGACGATACCTTGATAGATAACGACGATACCTTAAATAGGGACTGTAGCTTAAACGCCGACCCTTCGGACATACCACCGGAACCGGCAGAACAGCTGGACTTAGTCGACGGCGCGACCCCTTACCGGCTCTGGCGCCGGGAATGCCGTAGGCGCTACAACAAACGTCGTCGGCAAGCACGGCGTGTTGGACGGGTCGGCGCTGACGACGAGACGCCGCCACAATCTTAGGCCAACGGGCTAAGAACAACAAACCCGCTCAGAAACGTGCTATTCGAAATAATCAAAGTAAATACCTAGCTTTTCGAATTTGTTTTTAATTTGTACAATTTATATTCTGTGTATCAAAAATATATTACAATTAATGTTTACTTTTGACATGGACATGTCTTTTGGTTGGAGGTCAATATGAAAATCTGTGCTTGCATCACGCTGAACGTTACCGTAGAAAATATGTGCGTGTGGCGCGATTTAGCGGTTGTTTTTTGAACGAAACATCTGATAAATAATAATCATATTCATTAGGTACTCCTAATGAGAATATAAGGACGTATAAGGATTTAATGATATATTAGGATATAATATAAGGTTATAAGGATAGTCAAATGAATCTGTTAGGTAGGCACTTATTGGCGAACCACAGAAATTGATTTATTTGTTAAATATGTCCACTAAATCGATTAAGACCATAAATAATAAAACAACTAAAAAAAACATTTGGCCAGAACATATAGTTAAGACTATGGATAGGAAATAACCATATAATTATCAGGACATATCACTCATAATATACAGGATTGAAAAAAAGTAAAATAATTATGTGAATCAATTTAAAGTTAATATCATCTTAATGTTTAAAAATCTTAGTCCATAGTGTATTAACTCGTGAGGAATGGGCTTAGGTTGTTGAAAAATATATCAAATTTTGTTTGATAAATAACTATGAAAAGTACGAAAAATAATAATTTATAAAAACATCTAATTATAATATCTTTTAAAACCTTGGCCGAGTCATAGCTGTTAGCCGATCGTGCTGCATACGGGATAGATATATTGGGAATGTGATAACATGACATAAAATTGGTATGAGGTGACGGCAAATCAAAAAGGAAAAAAACATATTATATTAAACGAAGCGATCCACACAGCCGCCGACAAGACCGTAAACGATAATTTATGTGAACCCTATTATGGTAGAAAAAATAACGGCGATACCGCTTAAACCTGTTACTAAAAAAAAAAAAATCGCCGATAAATTTTATCCGTCGAAGACACAAATGGCCACTTAAGTTTACTCGCCCGCGATTGATCTTGGATACTAAATTTTTAGACAAAAAAATACCATGTATATAAATATACTTTATTATTATTTCGCCCTTCATTATAATATCCAAACGAGTGTACATGCAATAACGCAAATCGGCTATATATAGATCATTATTTTTAAAAACATATATTATAATGAATCGCTTTTCAGAATGACTACCAAACGCTTTTTTTTTGTTAGTTAAGATTAACATCAAATCTTTGGCAGCTAAAAGAAGCAATCATTGATTTTTTAAATTGAATTAAAAAAATACGTACCTATAAAATACAAGTTTTTATCAATAATTATCTGATTTAAAAAAAAAAAGTTTTTTGAAACTATCTTTTTATGCGCTACAAAAAATTGTTTGGACTTTCCAATGACTAAAAATTGTTTAAAATCCGTTCCATAAATAAATGTGTCGACATCTAGGAAATATTTAAACATTTTTTTCTACTCTAAAATGCTCCCTAGCTCGTTTTTTGCCAAGTATTGTATCTTTTTTTACCCTTCATAAAATATAACAACTTACGTTCCGCTTTAACTGCGCTTAACATTTATTTTCTGGGTTTTTTTTTTTTGAGAGGAGTCACATTTTAAGTTTGCTGAGTTAAGGAAACACTGACTCTCACCCTACCCTCTCCTCGGAATGACCCCCCCCCCCTTTCCAGGGCGATAGTGTCACCGTGGCAAAAGCTAAAACAAAAGCATACACACGATTATTGTTGTCGGAGAGCCTTTTGTTTGCACACATCCAATTAAAAGCGAAAAAACTCTTGCCGACGGGTTGCGCGGTATTCCTTTGTTTCGGCCCGGGGTGAATTATAATGTTATGTAATATTTAAAATATTTAAATAGTAGTATTATTATTATTATTATTACCGTGGAGTACGGCACGTGCTTCAAAGACGTGTGCTTCTCATTAGCGTGTCGCCCGACAAAAATCGCAAAGCCAAAACAATAACTCCAAACCCGGACCGTCGTTGGCATATTTTTTTTTCAAAATAGGTAAGTACACCGGCTTTCTGTGGACGGTTTCGCCTATGCTGGATGTGCGATTTTGTATGGGCCACGCGCCGAAAAAAAAAACAATAAGAATATGATCTCTGTTTAGTGAGCAAAAAGTTGTAAGGAAATTGGATTTTTCAATATTCCCTAGCGAATTTTGTTTGGAAAAAAAACTAAAATAAATACATAAAATCCCTAAAAATTGTATTCTGATTTGGCCACAGATCTATTCTAGCACTTCAGTTTGATATTTTAATCATTTCCAAAGCTATAAGCAACTTGAAGAACTAATGTCAGTATTTTCTATTATGTTTGTAAAAAAAGAACCCTCGAAATTCTACATTAATTCTGAGATAGTTCTGAATTTAAAAAGGTAAAAAGTTATTTACTTGAAACAAATTTTAGACAAATGTTTAAACATGTTAAAAATGATATGTTACTTACAACTTTAGAAACGATTTAAAAAAAATCAGTACAGTGGGGTCGGTGCATAGTGGGGACGGGGAGGTCACAGGTTTACAGGAATTTTTAAATCTGAAAGTGATAAAATCACTTTTGAAAAAACGCTTCGATGCAAATCGGTAGTTAGTATTTTCAAGCCAGTACAGTCCAAACCAAGCACAGTATAAACCAGCAAAGTTAGAAAGTCTTAAATGAAGGTTCTGTATTTACAAATGAGCATCGAAGCGTTTATTTGAGAGCGATTTTATTCAATTTTATCACTTTAATTTATAATAATTCTTGTAGACCTGTGACCTCTCCGTTTCCTCATTGCTTTGATTACATTATGCCAATACTCTACTGTACTAGTCCTCTTGGATAAAATCGCTTTCAAATAAACGCTTTGATGCTCATTTGTAAATACAGAACCTTCATTTAAGACTTTCTAACTTTGCTGGTTTATACTGTGCTTGGTATGGACTGTACTGGCTTGAAAATAGTAACTACCGATTTGCATCGAATCGTTTTTTTAAAAGTGATTTTATCACTTTCAGATTTAAAAATTCCTGTAAACCTGTGACCTCCCCGTCCCCAATATGCCCCGACCCAACTATGTTCCGTCCCCACTGTACTGGTTTTTTTAAATCATTGCTTACTAAACCCGAAAAGTAAGCATCACTAGACACTCGATTTTTTAATGGGTAGATGAATTCTGACCTGACAGATAGCTAGTGACCTTCCTGGTCGCCTGTCAGTTAATACTTGTGACCAATTTGGTCGTCTTCCAGCTACTAGTAGGTAAAACATATAGTAAACCATCGAAATAATAACGAATGTTTTTATACAATAGGATCTAATTTTCTCACATATTATGATCACGCGTGATCATATTTATCACGTAAGATAATTTGATGACAATTTGACTTACTGTTATTGAAAAGTATCAGGAATATTTTAAATATTAGACAAAAATGTCATGCAACGTTTGAATATTTTTTCCGGCACATGTGTTTTTTTTAAATAATGTAGGTTCTGTTATTATCGAAATAACATGGCCATTTGCGTCATACTTCAATAGCACTATTTCTATATAGTATGAATAACGCTTGTAAAATAACGTATTATATCAATAGAATATTTTGAATAATAGGTAAATTTTTTTAATGTTAACGGAAATTGTTTTTCACTGTTATCATGTTTGCTCAATCTCACAGGTTTTTTTTATATAATGTAGGTTCTGTTATTTTCGAAATATCATTGCTATTTGCGTCATACTTAATAACACCGTTTCTATATAGTTTGAATAACGGTTTATCCAATTTTTTTGACTCATTTAATTCTAAATTAAAAAATTGTAAATGATCTTAAAAAATCAATCAAAATTATTTTGGAAAAAAAATGGCAAATCCTAAAGCATATTTGATATATCTACTATTAAAATGTAAACCACCCTCCTAAAAATAAAAAAAATTTACAGTTGGTCCACTTTAACTATGTTTAGTGGAACAACTTCTTATTTGTTTTTTTCAAATAGAATCATATTAAGCTCCTATAATAAGCCTTCTTTTATCGGGACCAAATTTTTAATAACTCAGTCTAACTAACATTGTAT